TTTACATTTGTTATGGTATGTTTTATGGCCCAGAATGTGCTCTGCTTTGGTGACTACAAAGTGAGGTTGAGAAGAATGTGTTTCCTGTTGTTGAATGAAGCAGTCTACAGTTCTTAATTATATACAATTGATTGATGGTATTATTTAGTTCAGCTATGTGTTCTTAGACTTGTGGGGAAATATTTGTTCTGTTTCTTTTTCTCTCGTCTTCTGGTATTCGGATTATGACTAAGTTATAGCAGTTATGCTATAGGTCAGTGTTATGTACAGTTATGTAGGTTAGTTATGTACAGTTGTTGGGTAATCTGTTCCAGTTCACTCTTTCTTTTCCCCCAGTCTCTCTTCTTTTTGCTTTTAAGTTTCAGAAGTTTCTGTTGCTATATTTTCAGCTTAGAAATTTTTTTCTAAGTGATAATCAGTCCATTAAGGATTCCTTTAAAGACTTTCTTCATTGCTACTAATATTTTTTTACCTCTAGCATTTATTTTTGATTTCTTTTTAGAATTCTTATATTTTTCCTTACTTTACCCATCTGTGCATAGAGCTTTTTGTTTATTAATCATAGGTCTAAAAATTACTGTAGGGCCTCGCTGATGGTGCAAGGATTAAAGTCAGCGCTGTCAGCTATCACTTGCCACTGCAGCATGAGTTTGATCCCCAGCTTTGGAGCTGACACACAGGGCACAGCAGACCTCTCCTGCCTTCAGACACGGCTCCCCTTAGCAGTGTATTTCAGTTCTACTCCCCACTTTGCTTGTTCTGCTTCTCACTTTTTTTTTGGTGAATCCTCTCTCCTCCCACACAACTTTGGCCTGCACCCCCAGTTCTTGTATGCATAAATACATACATTTTTTTTTAAAAAAATTGCTGTTCTGATAATTTCAACAACCCTGACAACTGCCTTGTGTGATGCTGCCTTGAGTTGATGCTGATGTTTGCTCTGTCTCTTCATTTTTTGCCTTATAGTGTACCACCTTTTATAGTTGGTTATATACTTGTAAAATGATTTCATATGAGAGTAGGCCTTGTTCAGATGAGAGTGATCTGGTATATTTCAAAATGTTTATGTTCCCCTATACTTGGAAAAATGAGGAAAATTTGTGCTACTACTCAAGGTCTGAACCTGGGAGAGCTCATGGGACTAAAACTCACATAAATGTGGAAAGTCCTAAATGCCTAAGTCCCTCTTGTGTTTTAGCTCAACTAAGTGTATGCTTTTTACCTCCAGCAATCTGTCATCATGTTAAATTTTCATATCTAGTACTGGCTTCTGGTAGTATTTTTGCTCATGAGTTTCTGTTCTGTTAAATTGTGACTCCCTTTACTCACCTCTGTGTGTGTGTGTGTGTGTGTGTGTGTGTGTGTGTGTGTGTGTGTGTGTATACATGTACATATGTATCTGATTTGGAAAGGGTAGACATTTCTGAGGGATTTAAGAATTGATTTTTTTTTTTTACTTTGTTCAGACAAGAGATGACTCCCAATTTTTTTAGCCAAACTAGAAATGATGAGTAATTCCTTAGTTTTGGTACCTGTATTTCAACTATGGCTGGAGTCTTTTCTGTTTACAAAAGTTTTACTTTACCTTGAGAAAGAAACCTGTACTCATTTGCTTAGGTGAGGGGAGGTACTTATAGAGACCTGGAGTAAGGACTCCAAAAAAGTAGATTTAAATTATTCTTCCTCCTAATGTCTGCTTTCTTATTCATCAGTTCCAGACCTTCCTTCTGCTACGAATTCTGGAGTTTCCTGAAAATTCATTGGTGAAAATTGGATGTTTCTAAAGTGTTTTGTTTTTTAAACTGCTAGTATATGATTCATTTTGGGTGTTCTAAGTAGTTACCATATATCTGTGTTGTTACATAACTTTTGAGAGACTGTTGTTTTACCACTTTTCTATTTTCTTTATGTTTGTCTTTAAAGTTCTTTTATTGTAATTAACAGGAATCTAAATTAGATGATTAGGTCTGTCTACTGGCTTTCTTTTTATGTTTTTAATTTGTCAAGATATTATTTAAGGGAAAATACTCAGTTACAGCTTGATTTTCTTTTGTTCAGTTTTTCCTTCCTTCCCAAACCAAAATTAATAAAACTAGATGATTAATTACCTGACACATCTTGATAGAAAATTATTCTTAGTCATATCATTTCACTGGTAAAAAAAGTATTATTTGATAATGAAAATATTTTTTATTTTAGAAAAGACAAGAAAATCTCTGGTTTAGAAAGGGATTAACATGAAGTGTTAATGATAAAAAATTGTAGTAGGTAATAAGAGTGCTGTGCTTCCCTTTCAAAGAGAAACTTGAACGTCTCATTAATTAAACTGCTGATTTGTTATTGATACTTAACTATACTACAGCTTAGTAATTTGCATGTGATATTTACCTGTAAAAATTAAAAAATGTTTCTTCCAATTTCTTTTTCTGCCATATAGAGAAAGCAACCAGTGAGATGAACACTGCTGAGGACTGGGGTCTTATTTTGGATATTTGTGATAAAGTTGGTCAGTCTCGCACTGGGTAAGTATTGTAAAGTTTCAGATTATTTTTATTCTTTTTATTGGCATGAATAAAAGATGGAGTAAAATACATTACAGTTATAGTTTTGCTTAGAAAGAGAAAGTTTTTGTTAAAAAAAAATCTTCCCATTTAAATTTAGTTCCTTATAACAGTAGTGTAACATCATGTCCTAGTGGTAAAAATGTCAAAATTTCAATTATTTATTCATCTCCTTAGTGGCTTTCTGAAATATAACTTTTTCTTCTGATTTTTTTTCACACTGTTTTAAAGCTGTCAGATATTTCTCAGTTACCATTCTTGTGATGGTTATTTCTGACATTTTCATCACATCTGCAATGTTCTACCCGACTGATCAGGGACTTGAAAATGAGATTAGGGAAATAGAATCTTAATTTTTAGTGTTTTTACTTTTATGAAATACTAATACTTGTGCTAATGACATTGGCTTTGGTAGCCTCATTTGCCCCTTTGTGCCATAAAATATTGTCTTATTTTTTATTTTCATGGGAAAAAGTAGATAGCATTGCCACTGTCCTTGCTATTTGGTAGTAACATTTACTCTCTGACAGCAATGGCTTTGGCTTGTCTTCCTACCCTTCTACATACTGGTAGTTTCTTAATCTTTCTGTATTTATACCATATCTACAGAGTGGTCTCATTCTAGAAACCTGAACTCATTTCTCTTTTTGCATTAAACCTATTATCTCACCTTTGCTGTTTTCATTAATGACACAATTGTCTTTTATTTGTACTTAACAAAAACTTCAGTGTCACCTCTACTTTTACCTTATTACTAATGTTTCCAGTCTTCTTACAATATTTCTTAGAATGTTGTTCACCTAAAATTTCCTTAATTAAATTCGTGACCATAGGCTATTTGTTTTCAGGCTTTACTACCCTTTCACTTTAACCCTCTTGACTCCAGTTGTGCTTTCCTGTCTGATTTCCTAAATTGTGGGCTTCTCCATTCCCTTTATCTTCTGTACATTTTAGTGGTCTAAGTTTTGCTATTTATGATCCTGTTTATTTCTAAATTTAATTGAAATTTCATTAGCTACTATGTGCTACATACCTGTTCCCTTTTCTGTTTCATTGACCCTTCTTTACTTGAGACATTCATTACCTTTTCTCAACAATTGAACTAACCTAGCATTTCTTTCTTTTTCCATTTCTTGTCTAATTCTTATGTTCAGTTGCCATCTAACAACTGTTACCATGTTATCTATGTACTGGGATTAGTCTGACTTAGGTTTCTGAGTCATTTTCCTTTACCTCTCTTGTATATGTCACTCTTTTTGACTCAAATACTAGAGTCACTAGTGCTATTCTACCAAAATACCAATACTTTTGGCTATTCTTTTCTTTCATTGTGGTTATTTTCTTTTCCCATTCCCTAGTTCTGAGTCTCATATCCATAAGATCCAATATATAATGGATATAATTTCTCCCACAAAACCTTTATTTTTTTCCCTTTACTGAACATGATGGTCCTCTCAGTTCTCAAAGCTCTCTCAAAACCGTTCTTGTTTGTACTTTTTCTTGTAGGATAGTAATTTCTATCTAGTAATCTTAGATTTATAGCTGTAAGGGTTTGTGAATATTTGCTAAACTGAAGAAAGGAGCAAATAGTTTAGTAGTTGAGAGCATGAATTCTGTAGCAAAAATACCTGCGTTCAAATCCTATTTCTAACCTCTGAGTTATGTCACATTTGGTAATTTACCATTCCAGTTTGCTACATACGAAGAAAAATAATGTCTTAGGGAATTTGGTGTAAGTATGAGATCAGTAAGTCTTTCTGTGTATATGTGTGTGTGTATAAATAGTTATAGTACTTACATTGTACCTGGCACATGATTAATGGGTGCAACTCTGCCTCTTTTGGATTAAAGTCATATTTTATGGTAGTTTGGGTGAGGATTGGGTATAGACCTAGCTCTGTCCTGTATATTTTAGAGATAAAACTTTTATCTAACATTCCAGTTACAGAGTTCTTTCTCCATTAACAATATTTTTTTTACTACATTGCTGTAAAGACAAATACATTTTCTTTCCCATATAAGCTTATTTTTTTTT